CAGTTGGCAGTTTGGGGGTCCTCCCATTCTCATATCCTTCAGATGCTATGTTGTCTTCCTACTATTTTCTCCTACACAGATGTTGATACTGAGTTGATGGTTTGTTCCCACCCACCCATATTTTGAGCTTTATAAGAATTCTTTTTCACGTAGTTATGTTGTAGCTATGATCTGAGCATGTTGCCATTAGTGTTATTTTTCTATCCTAGCTTTTTATGAGGAGGTTCAGACTATACCATCTCTATAGGCACATTCCTAAAGTCTCCAATATTCATATATTACTTGGGAGGGGAGTGAATTAAAAAACAAACATTTTAAACACTTCTATACTTTTGAAGTCAATCAAAAATGCAAGTTGAAATAATTATGAATGATAGATTAATTCTGTTTTTATATACCTTTCAAGTCATTTTTAAAAATTAGTTTATATTTGGTTTTCCTAGCTAGAAATTAATGTACAGTTGTCCCTTGGTATCCATAGGGGATTAGTTCCAGGGCACTCCACAGATACCAAAATCCAAGGTTACTCAAGTCCCTTATGTAAAATGAGGTAGCATTTGCATATAACCAATGCGCATCCTCCCATATACTTTAAATCATCTCTAGATTATTTATACCTAATATAATGTAAATAGTTGTTATACTGTATTGTTAGGGAATAATCACAAGAAAAATAATCTGTACATGTTTATCACAGCACAACTATCACAGGTCTAACTACATACAGGGTGAGGCAATAGTAGGTTTAGTTGTACCTATGAAAAATACAATTAATAAATAATACAAGAATAAATTCTGTTTTGTATACTCACAACTGTAAACCTCCTTTTACCCCACCTTCTAGGACACATCAGCGACAATGTAACTTTTTTTAACAAAATATTTTCAGCCCTCCATTGGTTGAATCTGAGAATGCGAAACCTGCTGATCTGCAGGGTCGACTGTAATCACAAGTGTTGCTCTATTCTCACACCTCTCCACTCCCAACTTGCTGCAGAGTACTCTCAAACTTAATGGGATATCAGAATTAGGCTTAAAATAATGAAATTTGTGATGATTACCCAATGTTCTCAGGCCAAACATTTGGAGGAGCTCATAACTGTATTTATTACTATGTCTTCATGTCTTAAAATTCTGGTTCTATCTGTAGCCCCCTTCTCACTCTACAATCTACAGTCCAATTTAACAAACTGGCTACCAATTATCGGAATGTGGTTTCACAGACATGTTTTGTTTAGCCTACTCAGTACTAAAAAGAAAAAATTGTTGACAACACTTAAAAACCAGGTTTCACATAAAGGTTCAGATTTCTAGCTCCTCTTAAAAAATTGATATCTGATGTCATTAGGCCCACATTCCTACTTGGAACTTGTACTCTGATTAAATAATGTGCTCTCATGTTTGACACTGGTCTCCCAGAAAGCTCTCCTCCTTTCTTACCTTTCGGTCACATAACCTTAGAGGTTTGTAACCATGGACTAATATCTTTTTTATTTCATCGCATTGGCTTCAACTACCAAATATGTTGGCTTCAATTACCAAATATGTGATTTCTAAATCTATTTCTACTTAGATGTGCTGCAGACTCCCCAGAACTCATATATTCAAAATCACTTTTTTTTCAAAACCTATTCTTCTTCTGCTATCTCTAAATGATCCAGTTAACAAAATTACATTCCTACAGTTGTCCAAATTATAAAAAACCCTGGGGCTATTCTCTTCCTTCTTCCTCTCCCTACCCAAAACTTTTCAGTCAAGTACCAAACTATGACATGTCTTTGCTTTCACAGTTTCCAATATTTTAAATACCTTTCTCTTCTTCAAATCTAGAAAATCCCTAGTTACTTTCCAAGATATAACAAACTGAATCAACGGAAACTATATCTCTTGCTTCCAGGAGCATTTAGTTGCTCCTTTCCATGTACAAGTATCTCAAGTATATTATGTTATATTGTATTTATTTGATGCTGTTTCTCTCACTAGACTAGGGATTCCTTAGGGATACGAATCATGATTTAGTTATCTTTGTATCAAGGGTACCAAGACAAAAAATACGGAACTCAATAAATGTGTCAAACACATGAATTTTACAAATCAATAAAAAATGAGATTATTTCCTTTTTTTGTTTTTTGGTGTGGTTTTTTTTTCTGGTACTTTTTTTAGTGCTTGCTTTGGATTGATAATAGAATCATTTGAAATTTTGTACCATGACTATAAAGTTAAATGGCTTTGTCAAAAGAAAACTTATTGACTCCACTATTAAGTATGAGGGGTTTTAAAGTATCAAATTTTTTAAAATATCTAAGGATGCCAGGTATTAATTTTGAAGAAAAAAAAATTATAATTACTCATAAAACAGGTCCCTGAGGAACAACTGAGCAGCTGTTAAAAGATCTGGTACACCAGCCAGCCTGAGTTTAATGACCTACATGTGAAGGGCTGCATATCCAATTACTAATCCTCCCTCCGCCACTCTTTGCCCTCATATGGAGGCAGCTGAAAAAAGATGCCCTACTAACAAGTGAGAAATGGATCCAACGCTCAATTAAGAGATCTTTTAGATTTGAGATGAGAAAGAAACACAGAGTGACCCACAACCGTGTTACAGCTGACATGTTTTTCAAGAAATATTTGAGGGTTTAAAGCAAGGGAAACCTCACTTTTGTAAATTTAGATAAATTTCAATTCTTTTAGAAAACTCAAATTCTTAATTTGATTTTTATTCACTGGAACCTTTAAACATGTTCAGATATGTTTTCAAGTATCAAGGATAATTTACTTCTGAATTGTTTCCATACTGATAGCAGCCTTCTATTTCATTCAAACTTTATTCTTAACTTCAAATTCTGCAATAACCACTCGTTAAAAGTAGGAGCAAATAAAAACAACTAAACAGAAGACAACAATCTACAGGATTATGTTTCAGTTCTCTCTCAGTTGACTTGGTCTATATATAGCAAAAAGGTTACATAAGGTCAAGAATTATAAACAATGAAGTGTCACCTGATGTTTTGCGAAACAGCAGAGGAAAAATAACTCCAGGAATGAATGGGTAGTAGGATTTCCGGCTGTAAGCAAGAGAAACGGCCTAAACATTCTGCTTTAAATGCGTTATTATTGGGAATTTGACTCACTTTTAAAATTTGATTTTCCACTTTAATTATGTACCATCATATGATACTGAAAACCTTCTTCTATATAAATTATGATTCGTTTATGCAAGAGATGCTGTCCTCTCATATCCAACAAAGAATGAAGAGCCCTTCGTCACTGTTTCGCATATTTAACTTTTAAGGGTAGGACTGTCTTAAGCACCCCTCGCCTCCCCCCCGGCCGCCAAAATCCCAAGAAAATATGAGTGAATACATGCTCGTGGGTCGTACACACGTGCCTTTAAGTGGAAAAACGAGCATCACTGTGACTACCTGACACTCTGAAAACCCTAACTCCTGACCCCGCCCCACATCACCCTCCTCCCCTTTTCTCCTATAGCCGGTCCGGAGTTGGCGCAGTTACATGACGTAAGACGTAACCGCCGAAGCCTCCAACGTGTAGCTACCGTCCCTACCTCTGGGAGTTGAAGTTTCCGGAGGACTTGTGAGCGTTATCAAGACCACTCCAGAAAGGCTTTCTGGGCGTGCTCTCAGGTTCCCCGAAAACTCCTCAGCTCGGTAAGTCCCCTGGGACTGAGACTCGCGCTGCCCTACCCTTTGGTAGCCTCCGGACACAAAAGGGGCGCTAAACCAATGCCGCCCTCCATTAGCAATAAGGGCTTCCGGGGAAGAGGGGATTGGGGTTGTGGAAGTGGCTGCCGCGACCCAGTTCTCGAAGGAAGTGACGTCGGTAGAGCGCGCCCCGAGGCCCGCCAAGAAGCTTCCTGATTGGCTGGTTTCAGCTTAATCCCGCCTCTGGAGTGTGTCTGTTGGCGTCTGGCGTGGAGGGGAGAGTGGGGCGAGGCTCCGTCCACCCACGGTGGGGCGCCAGCTGTCGGTATCTGTCTGGGGGTCGGGATCCGATCCCTGGTTTATGAAGAGTGTGAGTTTCCAGACAGCGAAGGGAGAGGGAAATCTGGAGCCTGAAGGCAGGAAAACGAGTTACCGCATTTCTCCAGTGAGAGGCTGACGTAGCAGAGCGCTCGGAAATGTAGAGCGCCCCGGGGAAAGTTGAAGGTGCTTTTAGGCCCCATCGTGGTGCGCTCAGGACGATTTTAAGAAGACCGAGGTGTTACTTGATTTCACGGGAATATTTTAAGTGTTAAAATTCGGACTCTTTTGTAGAGAGGTAGAGAGGATAGCCGCAGACGATTTTCTCACTTTTTGTTTTCTAAATCCTCCCTGTTCCCCATCCCATCCCAACCTCCCATCCAGGGCACCTGACAGTTGAACGCTTTGCTGCTGCAGATTTGGCCCGCGCGTTTTACAAAGGGTTTTCCTTCCCTGTCGCTGTCAGATCATTTAACTCCATTCCGCAATTATTTCAGCATTCGTTTGGATTTTTCAGGAGGGGAGCCTATGTTACAATTTATGAAGTTTATTTTAGCTCAATCAATAAAATCCATGAACGCAGGTTTTTAAAAAACTTTGGCCATTCACTGGATTTTTTTTTTTAATGTGTTCTTGCCGNTTATGAAGTTTATTTTAGCTCAATCAATAAAATCCATGAACGCAGGTTTTTAAAAAACTTTGGCCATTCACTGGATTTTTTTTTTTTTTAATGTGTTCTTGCCAAAACCTGTGCTGAGGAAGTAGAAATACAAGAAATATTGAAACACTTTTTTATGTATTCATCCCACACCAAAGGCCTTAGTCATATGTATACAGTTCTTAGTTTCATTAGACCACCTGATAATATATTTCTGTAAATAAATGAACAATTTAAGAAAATTGTATGCTAAACAGAATTTCACACAAATATTTCTATAATTGGTACACAATACCATTCTTAAATGTTTGTGGCACGTGGCTGAATTAATGAAAATGTACCGTGAGAGCANACACAAATATTTCTATAATTGGTACACAATACCATTCTTAAATGTTTGTGGCACGTGGCTGAATTAATGAAAATGTACCGAGCATCACTGAACACGGGAGGAATGCAAAACTCTGCCATGGAGCTTATAAACTGCAGACAAAACTAAAGTAAGAAATCACGTGTGCCTAGTAAACATATACTTGTATTTTACTGAACTCTCAGAGGGAAAGGGGGAAGGGGGGGCGGGAAGAGATTAACCAAAGAATTTATATGCATATATGGATAACCCCTGGACACAGACAATAGTCCGGGAGGCCTGGGGGAAGGGGTTGCAATGTGGAGGAGGCCAATGGGGGGAAAAAAGGGGGCATCTGTAATACTATCAACAATAAAGATAAATTGAAAAAAATATATAATCTGAACAAGCTAGTTCATAGTGAACTGCTTATTGTAAGTATAGGCAGTGGGAGTTGGTTCATATCCTTGTTTGCACTGTGTGCTGTAAGCAATAATATGCAGGATCTCAAGCCAGCATTTTTGTTGTATTCTATGCCACAATGTATCTAGCTTATTCAAAGCTATAAAAAATTCACTTACTACAGTGCATTTTCTTAACTGGGAAGAGCTTTAAAAATAATAATGATAATGATGTTGACTAGCTTATGATCTTCCTATGTATTTGACAGGGTGTTTAAAAATGTTTCTATTCAATGATAGTTAAATTTAACTCAGACTTCTTAGATAGGAAAGACAAAAGCTCCCCCTGGTGTACATGAACTGTAAAATATTGTTATAAATTGCTTTTTAAATTTTCATATTATAGAGCCAATCAACACTTGCAGTTTTTGAACATAATAGAGAACTAGCAAAAAACAATGCCAATGATAATGGAAATAGTCTCTCTTAAAATATTCATTATTGTTTTATGAAGAGAGCAATTCCTTTCCTGTGAATTTTAATTGTGCTTTTAAGTTTGCATGTTTAGCTTAATGGTCAGGTTTAGCTTTTTTTTCCTCCACCCTACATTGTTTTGGATACATGCATTGCTGACTTTTATTTAATGTATGACCTATGAAAGGAAGTAAAATAAAAGTGATCCTGAAGATCGCATTATTTTAAAATTATCTTCTAATATTTTCAGGTTTACTGAGTTTCCTCTCTCAGTTCTTAAGTTGAATGCTTACTTTTATTTTCCAGCTTTAAAAAAAATACTAATGAATACACTCAAGGTTATACATTTATCTCTACCTTTTGGCCTCTGTTTCTCTCATTCTGTAATTCAGGTCTTTTAACTGCTCTGACATATTTTTTCATTCTATTTCTGTCTGAATTCTGAGTCAGATTGTCAGGATGTCTTCTAATCCATCAATTATCTCTTGGACTCCAGGTAATCTGGAGTTTGTCTCACTTATTGAAATTTTTATATCTTCATTTCCTGGTTTCCAAATCGGTTCTTTTTCATAGATTTTTATTTGCTTTTGTATTAATTATAATATTTATATTATAAGTATAATATTTATAAATTAAACTTTAGTATATGTATGTATAGGAAAAAACATAGTATATATAGGGTTCAGTACTATCTGCCTTTTTCCAGCATCTGCTGGGGATCTTAGAATGTATCCATTGCAAATAAGGGGGGACTACTGCATACCTTTTTGCATTAATTTTGTGCATATTTATGATTCATTTACAGGAATTTATTCTAAGGAAATAAATTACTGAGTCAAGGGTATCAATCTTTTAAAGCTTTTGAAACATAGATCTGTATAGCCGTCTGGAAAAATTGTGCCATGACTACCAATAGTATCTGAAATTACCCCTTTTCATCACATTTTCTTTGCCAGTAAGTGACATTTAATTGTCTAAATTTTCATTTTTTTTTAATCCTCACCCTAGGATATGTTTACTTATTTTTAGAGCGAGGAAGAGAAAGAGAGAGAAAAAAACTGAGGTGAGAGAAACATTGATTGGTTGCCTTCCATGCACTTCAACCTGGATCGAACCTGCAACCTAGGTATATGCCCTGACCAGAATCAAACGTGCAACTTTTTGGTGTATGGGATGACACTTCAACCAACTGAGCCACCCGGCCAGGGCTAAATTTTCATTTTTGTTCATTTCTGATATGGTTTAATTTTAATCACATTTATTGGCCATTTGGTGTTTACTTTTTTGTGTGTGAATTATCTATGTCAAAAGTTGCTTTTTACTTTTTCAGAGGCATCAAATAATGTCATCTGAAATGGTGCCAGCATTTGTTGAGACTTCTAATGTTAAAAGCAAGCAAGACTTAAGTGAAGATCAGGAGGAGAGCAAGAAGCTAAGATTAGGTGAAGAGTTTGAACAAATATCTAAAAGACAAATGAAGAAGCTAATAAAACAGAAACAATGGGAAGAACAGCGAGAACTCCGCAAGTATGTTTCAAAATACATGTATTCTACCCCTATTCAGAAATATGGAATGTTGGACCTTTCATAGTCCTTTGACGCATTAAAAGTAATTGTGTTAATTAAAATTGGGGCTATGCATATTATTAGCTAATACTGTCAGTTGGCTGTTAAAACTGTATGTTTTGAATTATTTTGTTTAGCAATGTTTATGAATTTACACTGCACACTTTTTCTCACCCAAAATCTATTGAGTAGCAGCACAATTTCTGAAATAACTAAGTTAGGAAAGGGATATAATTAGCATCCATGTCCTAGATATGAAGCAAAAATAACCACCTCGGAGAGATCAAATTTGGGCCTAACGTTGATTTTGCTAAAACTATTGCAGGTTTTGTTGAGAACAGAGACTGAAGCTGTTCTTGTACAGGGGTGGGCAAAAGGAGGTTTACAGTTGTGAGTATGCAAAACAGTTTATTCTTGTATTATTATTTATTTATTATTGTCTTTTTTGTATTACAATTGTAAACCTATTTTTGCCCACCCCTGTATTATACCAAAACTTACTGGGAGAAAATAAACTATAGTTGATGCAGATTAGAGAAAAAAGTATGTAAGATTTTTTTTTCCCACTAACAATTTTACTTTGCTTTTTTCCTACACCATATAAATGTTGCTTGAAAATCATGTAGGGGAAGAATGATAAAAGTAAAATTTATCACAGCTCTCAAATTAAGTATTTATAGTTTTATTATAATATTATACTAAAACAACAAATGAATTTATTAGCAGTGTAGTTAGGATTTGTGTAAAAAGCATTATATTGTTTTTACAAACCCTTTTCTTCCTTTCTAAAACTTTTAGATGGACTATGTAAAATTGCTGATATTTGACCAATTTTGATCCATGGAAGTGGGAATTTCTTATTGTTCAGCCGGCTGATTTAAAAAACTAATTGTTCCTTTGTCTATTTAGAGGAGTTTTGTAAATACCTGAGTATATAAATAACAACAAAAAGTTATTTCAATTACTAATTTTAGACAAAAGAGGAAGGAAAAACGCAAGAGAAAGCAATTAGAGCGACAGTGTCAACTGGAATCAAACTCGGATGGAAATGATAGAAAACGAATTCGAAGAGGTGTTGTTCACAGCACGCTTCGCCTTATCATTGATTGCAGTTTTGACAGCTTGATGATATTAAAGGTATCATGAATCATTGTCAGAGAAATCCTGTAGGTAAACTAGGCTAAATAATTCTTGCTTTAATATGTAATATCACTTTGATATAAATTTATGTACTAAAATACATCTTAAATCAAGTTTTTCAAACTCTATGCCCCCTAAATTAAAATTTCTTTTATGTATATGTATGTGTGTTGACAGAAGGAGAGACAAACACCATGATTGGATTATAAAACTCAATAACTGCATATTAATCATAAAGATCTGTTTTTATTTGTCCTAATCAAAATTAACAAAATAAGAAATATGATTGTCTGAATAGAATTGTTTCTTAATAGTTTGAGAAGCCTGGCTGTTTAAACAATGCTAGTAAAGAGACCATGCTTTAATTTCTAAGCCATTGGTAAATTATGAAAATAGTAATAGTATGTCACTAAGAGTTTTTTGCTGACTCTTAAGAAAGTAAATGTTTTCATAAACCAGCATTCTAAATGGATACAAAATGTGAAATAATGGTTCACTTACAGAGTATTAACTTTACTTATAGTAATTATTTTATTTGTTATGTAAGGAAATAGCATGGAATTTATCAGAAAGGACTTGTATTTCAAAAGAAAAAAATGAACCTGTCTAATCATCCCTTCTGCTTATTCTGTTCCACTAAGATTGTGGAATGGTCATGGATGATTTTGAAAATGCTGCTTTAAAAATTGCACTCTTTTATAGGACATTAAGAAACTTCATAAGCAGATTCAACGATGTTATGCAGAAAATCGACGAGCACTGCATCCTGTACAGGTATGTTTAAGAGATTTAAAAGAGACTCAAGTTTCCTTTCTTATATTTTCCTTCTTAGAGAACAAAATGCCTATTCGAAACATGTTTTTATAAAGATAAAGTAAAATATTTCAAACATTTTTTCAAGTGTCATTCTTAGACACACTGCCCAATCATCATCAGTCTTGTACACATTGATCTGCTCATTTCTGTGTAGTTGAACATCTTCATTAAAGGATATACACATATTTTCTTACTAGTTTCTTAGCTTTCATCCTTCCATTCTGGGGAGTAGGGGGAACCGATGTGTGCCGTGTTACCTTTTGGTAGGTTTATTCTACTTAAAAGATTTTGAGCCACTGATAATTTTGAAAAGTATTTCCTTAGCTAGAGGGAGGGAGTGCTTTGTAGACTAGCTGCCTGATACTGAGTTGTCTGCTGTTTGAATTCTAGGTGACCTAATAACATTGGCTCACTGACATTGAGAACTAGAAATTTTTAATGTATTTTTGGTTAGATATTTTCTTCTTATCAAGGGATAGTAATTATATATTTATGCATTTTATATTCTTCTCACCCTTGCTTAGACTTGAAATAGGTGTCAGGTTTTAGGATCAAAGAATTATGGAGACTTTTGTTTGGTAAAAAACAACAGTGGTGGCAAAAGAAAGGGAATGGAAACTTGACATGGGAGCAGGGAGTTTGTAGACAAGTGATCATTAAGTGAAAGATTATAACTGCTCGAAAAAATGGGATAAAAATTTAGGTGGAATAAGGAAGATAATGGGTTATGAAATACACAAAATATGTCATTTCTGCCACCAATTCTTGTATGTTTAAAGCATGCTAAAAATTTAGTTTTTACTAGAATGAAAATATTTTGTGTTTCATTGATGATCTGGTTAGTGTATGAAGAAAATAAAATACTGTATTTTAATAGTCATTTACTCTCTCTTTCTGTGCCTATGAATCTTTATCAGTTTTATTTGACAAGCCATGGAGGCCAGTTGAAAAAGAACATGGATGAAAATGACAAAGGATGGGTCAACTGGAAGGTAATTAAAGTACATTAACTCTCCCATAATTCCAAGTAGTTTTAAGCTTAAAGGTCTACATTTTTTATCTAAGTTCTACATAATGTTAATAAATACAAGAGTCACCAGTCTCCAAACCCTGTGTATCACTGTACCCAAATTTAAGGGTACTAATGGGAGACGCTAAAGAGACTGAGATATCTGTTTGTACTTGCTCTCATTAAATCTCACTTGCTATTTTGCCTCCAACTTTAAAACATATTTTTAAAAAAGGAAAAATTTTTAAAGTGTTTATTCAATCTCTGCCTATCAAACTGGCTGTGCATTATTTATAAGAGTGGAGTCACTCTAAAATTTAAAAATGTATTTGCATTGTTTCTTCTAAATCTGTGTTCTCCCATGTCCACATGTGGCTATTGAACTCTTGAAATGTGACTGGTCTGAATTGATATGTGCTATAAATGTGAAATATACATTGGATTTCAAAAACTTAGTACCAAAAACAAAAAAAGATAGAATATAAAATATCTCCTTGGAATTTTAAAAAATATCATATGTTGAAATGATAACATTTGGGGTATATTGTGTTGAATGCAACACAATACAATGCAATGTATTATTGAAATTAATTTCACTTCTTGTCACTTTTTTTTAATGTGACTACTAGAAGATTTAAAATTACATATGTGGCTCACATTTTTTATAGGACTAAACTATTCTCAGTCATTTGCAAAAATGACTAATAGATTGGGTTTAGTACAAATCCATGAGGAATCCTATTTTATTCAGAGAAGTAACTTTTTTTCGGAATTTTTTCTCTTTCTCAAAGCCAGTTCTCTCCGTGACATACTTTTCCTCTTATACTCACTAATCCCATAATGATTGCATTTATTTAATTAATAGCCTATAGTGTAAAACATTTTTAAAGGCTTAAGTTTTAAAGTACAATATACCAAATTTTATGATAGTGCCTATTTTCCTAAGAAATAATGTAATAAGTTAGAGTAGGCATACGTTCAGTTATTTTGTGCCTTGTTAAATTTATTATTTATACCACCCACTTTCCAGAAAAATGTTAGTTCACTGGTCTCTAATTTCAAGTTCTCCTGGGGGCCCTTATTAAGCATAGGGGCCAAATTTATAATATAAATTTTCCAGAAAAGTGGCTGTTTATTAATCAGTAGGTTATACATTTTAAGTTAGACAAGTCCTGCTTCATTTTTGGTTTCCTTAAAAATCACTGGTTGAATGTCATCTGAGCTTGGCGATGTATTTTCTTTTATTCTAGCAATATAGTTTGCAAAATTCTGACTGCCAAATGTTCAGTTTTGTGCCTGTGACCTAACAATTTCGGTGAAGATTTCAAATGTGCATCTTTGTAGAAATGGATGCATGGAATTTATTAACTATATAAGCCATTTTCTTTTGACAGTTCATGTAGACAGAGAGGAGGTACTTGGAGAAGACATTCTTTAACCAGAAAACAGTGTGAGCAAATATGTGACAAAATGTGTTTGTTTTGTAGGAGCGGAGATAAAGTTAGAAAGAGTAGATTAGTGCCATATTCAGGAAAAGGTTACTAAGGTAAGGAGTTTCAATTTTATCCTACAAATGAAGATAAACATTGAAAGTAGTGTTTTTAGAAAGTGAGTCTGCCATTAGTGTATGGAAATAAATTGGGATCTGAGGCTAGAAACGGAAATAGCATTAAGAGGCCACTTAAATAATTGAGGTGTGAGGTGATAAGGAGTTAAAGTAGTAGGTTATAAATAATGCATTGTAACATTCTTTCAAACTTCCTTCCATATGATTTACTTCCTTTCAAAATGATTGTTAGCCAATTTTCACAAAATTTTATTAATTTATCACATCTGTCCCTATGTGTCTTAAAGGATATCCACATTAAACCAGAACACTATATTGAATTCATAAAGAAAGAAGACCTGATTTATCTTACATCAGATTCACCTAATGTACTGAAGGACTTAGATGAATCAAAGGCTTATGTGATTGGAGGATTAGTAGATCACAACCATCACAAGGTACTAAGTTTTTATTTTTGCTTTTGCTTGTACTTAAAATTGATATGTCAGTTTTCTCAATTAACTAACACTTCTTGAGAATAGCAATAATGCTGATGAAAGCTGATTTCTATTGAGTACCTGCTGTAACTCAGTCACCTTTCCAGCTAAGCAAAGCATTTCACATACAAGGTGGGGCAAAAGTAGTTTTGCAGTTGTTCGTATGGAAAATAATACAATAATAAATTATAATACAAGAATAAACTCTGTGTTCCACTTACTCACTACTGTAAACCTGATTTTGCACCATCCTGCATATTAGTAGGCTTAATCCCCACTATAAACCAGTGAGGTCATTTCTATTATTATCTGCATTTTAGAGCTTAGGAACTGGAAGCCTAGAGAAACTAAGTCTAAAATCAGTGGTAGTAGGTAAAGCAGATACTTGAAACCAGGCAGATTGTTCTGGGTCCCAGATGCTTAAACAATATACTGTATTGAAAGAAGATGCTGCTGCTAATCAGTTTCTAGGCCACTGGTAAAATTTATAACAAAACTGATAAATTTATATATTAATTATGTGATTTTCATGGGATGTGTTTTCTGTTCTCATGTTATAATTTCTCCTTTTGTCTCTTTCCATCTCCTTATCCTCATTCAAATGAAAAATTACCAAAATAGACTTTCTAACAAAAAAACATAATTTTCGCCCAGGCGGGCGTGGCTCAGCGGTTAAGCGTCGGCCTAGGATCCAGGCAATCAGGATTCGATTCCCAGTCAGGGCACATGCCCGGGTTGCGGGCTTGATCAATGACTCTCTCCTCATTGATGTTTCTATCTCTCTCTCTCCCTCTCCTTTCCTCTCTCTGAAATCAATAAAGATATATTAAAAAAACAACAAAAACATAATTTTCTACTTTGCCAGCTACTTTGCAATATGCTAAATTCAAACCAACTAAAGAAAAAGCATGTTTACTACGTGCCTGAGGAAATATTGTCAACAGAATGATACAAATTCATTATTTTTAGTACCACTGTGCTGTAGAACTTTCTCTAATGTTGGAAATATTTATATCATTCTGTCCAGTGTGGTAGCCCTGTGGCCACTGAGCACATGAAACATGTACAGTATAATTGAGAAATAGAATTTTTAAAAATTATAATCAATTTCAATTTAAGTAGTCACATGTGGCTCTACTTGAACAGTGCATCTCTATAACATCACAGAATTTTATCAGAATGATCTTTAGCCTTTTTATTGTTTTCTTAGTGGAAATACTCTATTTTGTTATTTATGTAGAACCAAATTTTTATCTTTCATGTGTCTTTGAACTAAAACAATTTGTTTTCGAAAGCACCCGCCTCAATCATTAATTATTTGTCTCTAAAATATGCAAACTACTGGTTGGGAAATTCACGTCTTCTTTCTCCTGTACTTTGTCTTTTAGCTGTTTTAGTTCTGGTTAGACCCAGGCTTTACGGATTTTAATTTTGAGAAGAGAGAAAATTCATATTCAGTATTATTTAAATTGACAGAAAGGTAAAAATTAAATTTGTAGGCAATTTCAAAATATTTTCAGTTCAGCTTTTCATAGAATTTGTTTTTGTCATTTGTGCCTCTTACTGTTATGTAATTGAAACATAGTTTTATCTATATGTCTTTTGTATTCATGGGAAGAGTGATGGTGCTTCTCTAGGAATTCTGTTTGAGTATTTTAAACTAAGAGAGAGGCAGTGTGGAATGGTGTAAAGGTATTTTGAGGCATAGGCCAAGTTTTTCCTATGGTTTTGCCACTGAGGAGCTTTGTGACAGAGCAGGGAAGGAATGTCTTTGGTTTCCTCACTTTAAAATTGGTTAAAACAAATGCCCTAAACATTCTGACTATCCATATTGTCAAGAGAATGTTTCCAAACTAGCTGTTAAACACAGACACACACACAAACACACACACTTCAGATAATGTTCTCTGAACTAAAATCTTTCCTAAAAATGATTTGTTCTGTCGTAGACTTTAAGTTAAAATAATTTAATGTTCTAGTCCAAGTTATAGTGTCTTTGTTTTAGGGTCTCACATATAAACAAGCATCAGATCATGGAATTGATCATGCACAGCTACCCCTTGGAAATTTTGTGAAGATGAATAGTAGAAAAGTTTTGGCAATTAATCATGGTAAGCTATAAGGGGATGAACTGAAAATATACCTGAGTGAACATTGTGAAGAATAACATTACATTTTCGTTTTGGACAAATAGAAAATGTAGACTTTGCTGAAGACAGAATTATAAAATGTAATGATTTATAAATTGTTTTAATATAGAAATAATACATGCATATTTTGAAAATGCAAAAAAATAAAGAAAAATAAGCTGTAATTTCACTACCCAGAGATACTTAATATCAACTTTTTTGTGTGTTTCCTTCCAGTTCGTTTCCTATGCATATATAATATTATTTGTGACATAATTGGATTCTTACTCTATTATATAAAATATTATCAATCTGGGTGTTTTCCCCTCATTTATAATTACATTTTTCTATGTCATTGAATTATAATTAATGGCTATGTAATATTTCATCATCTGAGTATACAGTAATGTAACCATTTTCTTGTTGATTTTTTTTTTTTGCCCTTGTAAATAACATTATAATATTTGCCTGGAGTTTTTTTAGTAGAGATTTTTGTTGGTACACAGCTGTTTGTTGGGCTCTTTTTTATGTGCTAAGAACTTTCTGTATAGTAGGCTCTAGGGAGTTATAGAAATGAGTTTACTGATTCAAGGACTGAACTTCTAAGACCTTTGATAGATGGTGGAAATTACTTTCTCATGAAGCAATCCAGCTTAACCCATCAGCAATATATTAATGTGAAGATACTTTGGAGACAGTATTAAGTTTTAACTCCTAATTCGGGGGTGGGGGGGGGGAAGCAGGCAAGATGCTTCCCAGAGTGAGTGGCTCTTTATGGGAAAGATAGAATTTAGATTACTCCTAACCTTGTTTTCTTCTAGTTTTACATTAGCACATACAGGATAAAGAAGTGAAAGGGATAAAAAATAGGAAGGAAGCAAAACAATTCTCTGTCTATTGATTATTATCAACAAGGAATAATGGAAAACTTCTGAGTGCCTAAGAACTCAATTGAGGAAAAGCTAAAGAAGGGGTAACAGGCTTGAGAGCTGTGCGGCAAATTGGCTCTGACAGTGAATAGGAGAAGAAAGCGATAGGAACAAAGTAATGGTAAGGTCATACTGGCACTCCTAACACAAAAGCAATGTATTTTAAAATATAGGATGCAACATAGTGATGAACTTGGCTCAGAAATGTATGGAGTTTTTCTTTGTTTCAGTGTTTGAGATTATTCTGGAATACCTGGACACAAGAGACTGGCAAGAAGCATTCTTTACTGTTTTACCCCAAAGGAAAGGAGCTGTTCCCACAGACAAAACCAGTGAAAGTTCTGCCCATGACAAGAAGTCTTCCAGGGTTGAAGGTGGATTGGACAGTGATTCCAGTGAGGAAGAAACTAGCAGAAATGAACTAGATTCACCACCTGAAGAAGAAAAGCAGGATAAAGAAAATAGCACTGAGTCTACAGTGAACTCTATACCATAGTAATGTCATCTGGGTTTTTTGTTTTGTTGTTTTTTAGTGTGTGTGGTTTTTTTTGATTAAGGAAAAACTAGGAGAAAATGAGGTGCTTCATAGAATATTCAAGTGGAAGAAAACTTTATTTTACTTTTTATGATTTTTTTTTAAAACTTATACAGCAATAAAAAGTCCTTGTAAGAAAGCACTTTCTGTTTTTGCATAAGATTTCAATATGTAATTTTTAAAAATAGTTTTCTAAGCCTCAAATAAGAGTTTTTGAGGAATTTTACTTTAATAATAAACCTTCATTGTCTTATTTACTGGGTTATATACTTCAGAGTGTGCCTTCTGAATCTTTAGTTTTATTATTTTATGTTTATATCAGTGTCTTTCTGATTTATTGCCTACTTATTTGTGGAGGCAGATTTCATAAATCACCTATAACTGTACCAAAATTTTCAGTATGGGAGGTTACCTTCTATTTGCAGCTTTTATATTCAATATAATAGCTTCAAAGGAATGAACATAGTGATTTAAGGAGGAAGTATCAGATTGATAAACTCAGCAACTTATTTCTTTTGGACTATGGATCTGTCTGTTTCTCCTTTTGATGCCTTTTAGTTGTTCTAATGCAGTCACTGAAGAGTTGATCTCTTTAATATATTTTTATTTTATTTTTTTAAATATATTTCCTTAATTCAAATAATGGTGGTAAATTATTTCAATTACAAAACTTAATTTTTCAGGCTAGATTATTTCAAAAGGCTGTTGAAGGATCAATTTTGTCTTTACCTAGAAAGAAATAGCTCTCAGCAGCTATCTTTTCATTCCATATATGCTTTTATTTAAAAAAAAAAAAAAGTTGGTTCTTAAAGTAAATAAAGTTAACTTTATATGTGCATCTGCCTATCATATAAGCAAACTAATGTAAATGTATATTTCTGTAAATAATATAAGCATGTATGAATATATGCATATAACTGTAGATACATGTGTGTCCACATCATGTGTGATTCTTATTTAATAAGCAGGATTCAGTTGCTGTATATGTGTATTATTTGTGTGAATGGTAGTGTTCAGCAACACTAAGGAATTTAAATTTCATAAAGTGCAAAATCTATAATTAAACATTTGTATAAGGACATTGGCAAGGGAATATGGGGCTGAATGAGATGTTTAGTTTCCTGTAGAGCAGTTATGTTTAAAGTAAGTGATTCTCCTTTGCCACAGCTGTAGCAAGATGTCAGAAGCCTTCGAGTGGATAAGTGAAGTTTCTGTTCTTTTTACTAATTGGCATCTTAAATTATGCACACATTTGGTAGAAAGTTTATTGGATTTAATATAGGTGTTCTCTGTCCCTTATTTTTTGCTGCTTTATTCTTAGTAATCTATTATAGTTATCCATTTAAAGTAAGGTCTGTGAGCAAGGTATGTAAATAAAAAGCTCCTACAATTCTAGAAGAACAAAGCTTATGTCTTAAGTTGTATTTTTCAAAGGTTCATGTTTTTCTGAGTAAATAGGGTTTAGTAGCATGAAATACTATACCTTTTACTTAAATTGTTCCATAGGGAATAGGCACAGTTTAATTTTGAAAGGTGGGAAAAATTGTTACAGGCACTATGTAGTTTAATTTTCACTAATTGTAAAAGCCCTATATTAGTTTCCTATGACTGCCATAACAAATTTCCACAAATTGGATGGCTTAAAACAACAGAAATTTATTCTCTTACAGTCCTGGAGGCTAAAGAATTATTTGTAGCCGTTCCTAGCTTGTGTTGGTTGTCAGCAATCTCTGGTGTTCCTCAGCTTGCAGCTGTGTCACTCCAATCTCTGCTTTGTCATCACATGACCTTTCACCCCCTGTCTCCTGTGCCTGTGTCCCTCTTCTTGTAAGGATACCAATCATTGGATTAGGTTTTACCCTACTTCAGTATGACCTCATCTTAACTTGATTGCATCTACAAAGACCCTATTTCCAAATAAGGTTACATACACAAGTATTAGATATAAGACTTGAACACATCTTTCAGGTGGACACAGTTCTATCCACTACAAGGCCATATCTTATTTAGGCTGTTCATGACAAGAAGATGAAGATTGCAATTAGAAATAACTTCTGAGATATTTAAAATTTTGGTTTTTTAAGTAATAGTAATCTTTTTTCTTAATGTATTCTCTCAACACTGTTTTGGTTTATTGAGGTAGCTTATTAAAATTCAGTAATATTAAAGTCACTTGTATTAGAACATAATGAAGGTAGGAAATTCAGTTAGTATTTAAATAAATATGCCAAATGGAGATACGTCTGCTGAAATAATATGATTTTCTCTCATTTCATGTCTTAAAAATCTGTGGTCATCATAAAGCAAGCTCATTCTTAAGGGAAGGGACATTCTTTAGACCGGCGATTTTTCAACCTTTTTCATCTCATGACACATAAACTACTTACTAAAATTCTGTGACACACCAAAAAATACATTTTTTGCCAACCTGACAAAAAAAAGTATAATTTTGATTCATTCACACCAGACAGCTATTGTTATGTTGGCTGTCATTTTTTTTATTTGGCAATCTAAGGGAAAAGAGGTCAGTGCCCCTGACTAAATATAGTAGGTATTGCATGTTTTAAAAATTCCTATGGCACGCCAGTTGAAAATCACTGCTTTAGACATTCTCCAGAGAGCACTGTGTTGCCATCTTGGAGCATTTGAAAATAGTAGAAACTGAAAAAGGGAGACAGGAAGCAATTCTAAAGGGAGGTTTTTACTGACAATTACAAAGTAAAGTGATGTATCATTTCACTTTATATGTGGAAAGGGTCACAGATTATATTGGTAAAATGCAAGAGTTGTCCATAGAGCACTGAGAACTTGTACAGACCGCAGTTGGAAAAAGGAAAAAGGAATGGCAGGGGTTAGAACCAATGACAGCAGTGGCCTGTTGTGCTCATTAAAGTGATTAAATTAGCATAGAGATATTCATCTTTTCCTAGCACCTTGTCAGACACAGAGAGTAGGCACTTAACAAAGGTGAAGAAAGGAACCAGTGACAGAATCAAAAGATAATACTGTTAGTGGAAAGAGTAGGCTTAAATCTTGGCACTCTGCTTGTTAGTCATGTCACTTGGGGCAACTTTCTCAACTTGTGTGTGTCTCAGAGTCCTTATTTGTAAAATGGGAATGCCATCCCATTTGTCCTCTCTTAGGATTGAGAAATCAGTTGGTCTGAGACCAAGCAGCTAACTGAATAATAGTTTTGTATTGACATTTCTTTACTTGCCTCATTTCCCTTGTTTCTCACTTCCTTTTTGACATTGCCTGACTGAAAAAAAAAAAGTAGTACTATGCTTTATTTCAGGCTCTGCCTTTTGAGGAACCCAGGCTTAGATGAAATTTTTAAAATGTGAACTTTCTACATTACCAGAATGAATGCTCATTGGATAAAATATGGAAATCACAGACCATTTAGTGAAACATTTTAAATAGCAATAAAAACCAAATGCTAAGATAAAACACGACCACACAAAGCCAAATCAGCAAGTATAAATGTTCTAAAATCACTGAAATTGGATTTTAAATACCCAAAGCCTAAACATGCTATTTTTAAATAAAGTTACTCAGCAATTGTGAAAATCAAAGAATACAGAAAAGCATATTGGGCTAACAAGAGAAAAAGACAAGTCACAATTTTCACACTGCAAACGGGAAAGAAAGGCATGTAATATTCAAGAAAGCAATCCTTAGTGAAGATCTGACAGTTATGAGTATCTATGCATCAGGTAGCATAGTATTCAAATTCAAGAAAAACTTAAGGAATTATATGAAATAATAAGAAATGCATTAGTATGAGGAGACTGATTCATGCTTTCCAACCCATGACAAAAGATAAATATATGGGAGATGTAAGTGCTATAATTAATAAGACATATAATTGATACATATCAAGTTCTATAGGCTAAAAGTAGTTTTCCAGTGCCGAAAGAATGTTCATAAAAATGTGTATATGTGTATTCCACAATGGAAAATAAGTTCCAGAAGTAGAAATAATATAAGTAGCTTCTATGATAATACATTAAGATAGAAAACAAATTTGTGGGACAGGAGGAAAGCATTACCACCTAGAACTTTTTTATTTAATGTCAGATGTCTGTTGTAAAAAGCACTGTTAGAGATAAAGTTGGTCATGACAATTATAAAATTCTAAACTATGTTTACACATCACTTCAAAATATATAAATAAAAATGGACAAAATTACAAAGACCACTGAACACATTTATCATAATAGTTGGAAAAATTTTGTACACACCTTTATAATTGATTAATCAATCTCAAAGGCAAAAATTAGAATATATAAGATTTGAGCAACACAAGTTTTAATATATCTACAACTTTGTGTCCAACAGTTTTAAAATTTACATTCTTTTGAATTATATGGAACATTTATGAAATTTACCATATGCTAAACCTCAAAGCTTCCTCAAGAAAATCAAATGATTTGTCATTTTTACAGATCACATCAGCTACAATACAATTAAATTATAAATCATTTAAAATATGTTTGAAAAACATACATTTGGGAATTTTAAAAACCTCTTCTAAACAGCTTATGGGTTACAAAAGAAAACAATGAAAATTAGAAAATATATAGAAGTAAATTTAATGAAACTATTAAAACTTGTAGAATATAGCTAAAGCAACATTTAGAGGAAATTTTATAGCTTATATTGTTTAAGTTAGAAAAAAAGGGGTTAGCATAATTGAACTATCCATTTAATTTAACAAGTTAAGAAAAGAACAGTATATCCAAAGTTGAAGGAGAAATACCGGCAGCAATAATTAAAACTAAAATGAACATGCAGTAAAGAGGACCAGAGCAAAAATGGACTATTCGAAAACACTAATAAAATAGACATTAAGAAAAAAAGAGGGAGAGAGGGGGCCCATAATATAAAAATGAATAATGGAGATATTAAATTGGAAACAAATGAATACTATAAAATAATATGTCAACACATTTGAAAGGTTAAATGAAATGACTAAGTTATAAAAATAAAAATTACCAAAAACTCAAAAAACTTTACAACCCCAAAGAGTTTTATAACTCTTAAGTAAATTGACTTAGTATTTTAAAATCTGGGACCAAATGTCTTATGGGCCTATCTGTGAGACATACCAAATGCAAACAAATTATTTTACCCGGACTCTTTGTGGAGAACTAAAAATGAGGGAGCCATTATTGTATGAAGCTTATTAACTGTGCTATTCAAGTCACATATATTTTTCCACTTGTGGTTTCTTGTTTTGTTAATTATCGTAAAAATCATGTAACATTAAATTTACCATCCTAACCATTTTCAGTGTACAGTTCAGTAGTACAAAGTGTATTCACACTGTTGTACAGCAGATATGTAAAACTCATTTATCATGCAGCACGGAAACTCTGTACCCATGAAACTAATTCCCCTCCCCCCGCTCACCAGCCCTTAGTAACCACCGTTCTACTTTCTGTTTCTGTGATTTTGACTACTTTAGATATTTCATATGGTGGAATCATCCAGTATTTGTTCTTTTCTGACTGGCTTACTTCTTAGCATATTATCTTCAAGTTTCATCCATGTTTTAGCATGTGATGGGATTTTTCTTTTATTTTAAGGCTGCATAATATTCCATTGTATGTATATACCACATTTTCTTTCTTTATTCATCTGTCCATGGACATTTGGAATGCTTCAACCTCTGGGCTATTTTTAACAATGCTGCAGTGGACACAGGTGTGTAAATATTTCTGAGATCCTGCTTTCAGTTCCTTTGGATATATACCCAGAAGTGGGGCTGCTGGATCATATGGGCATTCTATTTTTAATTTTTTGTGGAACCTCTATACTGTTTTTCACAATGGCTGTACCATTTTACATTCCCACCAAAAATGAGTGGGGCTTCAACTTCACATCCTTGCCAACAATTATGTTCTGTTCTTTTGATAGTGGCTATCCTAATGGGTGTGAAATGATATATCATTGTGGTTTTGATTGCATTTCCCTAGTGACTAGTGGTGTCGAGCATCTTATGCGCTTCTTGGCTATTTGTATGTCTCCTTTGTAGAAATGTCTATTCAAGTTGTTTTTAAATTGGGTTGTTTTCTGTCATTGAGTTATAGAAGTTTTTTATACAGTGGAACCTTCTACAGTGGTTCTCAAACTTAATTCATTTCAGAAGGCTGTTCAAGAATCGATTTGTTTGAAAACTGAATCATGTTTTCCCATTAGAAATAATGTAAGTTGAATTAATGTGTTCCAGACCCCAAAATGATTCCCTGTTTTAACCTTTCTTATATACAGTACAAGTCTAATGTAGTGTTTAATCTATAACCAAACACTTCTTAATTTATCAAACCACCCCCTACTGGCCTTAAATGAATCATTGTCAGCACTTGTTTCAGGGGTGCCTTTCAGAATTCAGCATGCTACACCTTCGCCTTTTCTCATTATCACCAGCTGCTTTTCGTTTATCCCCAGCAACAACAGTTTTTCTGCTCTTCAATTGCCTGTGATCATTGTTTCTTTTATACCCTTTGCAACATTAGCACTCTTGGCCTTTTTATGTTTTAAAATTGTGCTAACTGTCCATTTCACCAGCAACAAAACCAAAAAAAAAAAAAAAAAAACAACAACAGAAAGAAACCCACAANAAAAAAAAAAAACAGAAAGAAACCCACAAAAACATTCACAGCACAATTTCCTGAGCTGTTAACAAAGCGAGGTTTAGCTGTAAACTGACTGATACTGACACATTCTCTCTTTTTGTTTGTGGCCTGAGAGATGCTTTTTGTAATGCTGATATATCAGCATGAAAGGGTTGTCGGGTCAAGAACTGAAGTTTTGTTCCATAACCAAGACATTTTTTCCATGAACAACTTGGTTGAGAACTGAATTGTTCAAGATGGGAGACATTCAAGAACCAAGGTTTGACTATATATTCTAGATGTCAAATAATAAGATTTGCAAATTTTCTCCTATTCCATAGATTGCCTTTTCACGATGTTGATTGTGAGTTTGTTTTTGTGTGGTGTGTGTGTATGACAGGAAGTTTTAAAGTTTTGTAGAGTCCCATTTATCTATTTTTTTTGTTTTTGCTTGTGTTTTGGTGTCATAGCTAAGAAATCACTGCCTAATCTAATGTTCTGAAGTTTTCCACTATGTTTTCTTCTAGGAATTTAATATTTAGGTCTTACATTTAGATCTGTAATCAAGTTTGAGTTAATTTTGTATATAAGGTAAGATAACTTCATTCTTTTGCATATGGAATCCAGTTTTTCCAGCACCATCTGTTGAAAAAGAGTGTCCTTTCTCCATTGTGTAGTCTTGGCACCCATGTTGAAAATCATTTGGCCATCTATGCAACAGTTTATTTCTGGGCTCTCAATTCTGTTCTATTGACGTATAGGTTTATATGACAGTAGCACACAATGTTAATTACTGTTGCTTTATAGTATGTCTTGAAATTGGGGAGTATGAAGCTTCCAAAAAATTTTTTTAATTCATTGTCCCTTGAGAGTCCATACAAATTTTACGATGGCTTTTCTATTTCTGCAAGAAATGTCATTGGGATTTTGATAGGGATTACAGTGAATTTGTAGATCTCTTTGGGTAGTATGGACACTAATTATTTTCTTTCCCTTCTCCAATTTGTATGCCTTTTTTTCTTGTCTGACTGCTCTGGCTAGAACTTCCAGTACTTTGTTGAATAGAAGTGGTGAGAGTGGGCATCTTTGCCTTGTTCCTGATCTTAGAAGACAAGCTTTCAGTCTTTCCCTTGTTGAATACAATATTAGCTGTGGGTTTTTCACACATGGCTTTTATTATGCTGGGGTCGTTTCCTTCTATTTCTGGTTTATTCAGTATTTTTATCCTGAAAGGGTGTTGAATTTTGTCAAATGCTTTTTCTGCATTGATTGAGATGATGGTGTGATTTTTGTTATTCATTTTGTTAATGTGGTGTGTTATATTGACTGATTTTCATATATTCACCTGTCATTACATCCAGGTACAAATCCCACCTTAAAAACTTATGCTAATAAATAAAAATGACTGAATATAACTATATTAATAATATTCAACTGAAGACATTAGAACAATAGTGAACCTAAAGAAACTAAAAGATTTAGAGTGAAAGGAAATATTAATGAAATAAAAAATAAGATTATACAAGATCTGTTTTTCAAGGTGATAGTAAAATGTAAAAAGCTATTATCCAAATGAATAAAAAAATTACAAATATACAAAAATAAGATTTCAGGATAAACATAGAAAGGAATTTAGAGAATTGTGGGACAAATCTGTCTCAATTCTATGAAAATAAATTTGGAAACTTGGATAAAATAATTAATTTTTAAGAAAATAAAAATCTCCAAAATTGATCCTTTAAAATATATAAAATATAAACAGGTCAGTTGTCATAGAAGAAATAACATTGTCCAAGGGCTAGCGCTTCCTAAAACATCCAACCTACATGGTCTGATAGGTGAATTTTACCAAGTTTTCACAGAAAAGGGATCTGCAATGCTATTGCAACCTCTCTATAACAGGAAAACGATAAGGAGAGGGAGAAAGCTTTGATATTAATTTTATGGGGTATGGTCTTGATATGCATCAGTAGTGACTAGTGGTTAAGCACATAGATTCCAGCCACATTTTGAACCACTCACTAAACCTTTGTCTCAGAAAGAGTTAACTGTCCACCACAATCCAATTTTCCTTTCCATAGAATATAGTGTAGTACTGGAATATGATTGCTCCTTAAGAATTTTATCAACCCCCTAGCAGCCAGACTATTTCTTAATCACAGAATATGAATAGAAGTGATGTTTACCATTTCAAAGCCAAGACTTTAAGCAGAGGTACTTTCATTGTGGAAGTCAGAATAACATCCCCCAAAAATTCTAATCCCTGGAGCCTGTGATGCTACTTGGTAAGGGAGAATTAAATTGCTAACCATCCAACCTTAAGATAAGATTACCTTGGATAACCTAAATAACATTCAGGCCCAATGTAATCACAGGAAGAGGGGGGCAGAAGAGTCAATGTCAGAGCAATGTGCTATGAGAAGAATCAACCAGCCATTGTCGGCATTAAAGATAGAAAGGAGCCATGAGCCAAGGAGTGTGGGTAACCTCTAGAAGTTGGAAAAAGCAAAGAAAACGTATTCTCCCCTAAGGCCTCCAGAAGGAATGTAACCCTGCCAACCCTTTGATTTTAGCCCATTGAGACCCATTTCGGACCTCTGCTCCCAGAATTGTAAGAAATCAAATTTGTGTTTGGTTAAGGCACTAAGTTTGTGGTAATGTATTACAGCAGCGTTAGGAAATTAAAACTTTCCTCCACTCTCCTTTTCCTCTTTTGCCAGCAAGATGTAGTTGACAATGAAACCGTAGGTAATGGTTGAGATTCAAGAGGAAGGGATCCCAGGCCTCTGAATCACGAATAAACCAAAGTCATCTACTGACTAAAAACACACACTTTGGACTCTTAGGTAAGATGTAAACTTCTATTGTATATGAAAGATGACACTTGCTACAACTGCATATCCCATCCCAATGAGTAGAACTCTCTGTTCCTCAGTTTTCTTATTTAAAAATAAGTGAGAATAACAATAGTAGCTACCTCAAATAGTTATTGTGAAAATTAAATGTTACTATATCTAAAGTGTTTAGAATGATTCCTAACACACAGTAAGTGCAATGTAAATATTATTAAGATTGCACATATGCGTGCACGCATGTACACACACAAACACACAATTTATAGCATCTCTTCTGAATATTGAGCAAACACCCTAGATAAAAGATTGGCTGATTGGTAGACAGAATCCAGCAGTACACTGAAAGAATAATAGCCATGGCCCAAGAGTGGTTTATTTTAAGGAAAAATACAAAATGTTCAATATTAGGAAATTTGTTAATATCATTCACAATTAGTAATGAGTGGAAACTAGTTCCTTTCTGGCTCATAAGTTAGGGATAATTTTTATAGCTTTTCTTTGTTGGAGGGAGGTGAGCATGTTTTCCATAATATCCCAACAACATTTTAACACCATAGGTTGTGAAAATTAGGTGAGGTGTTAAAATTCTGTTTGTTTCTCTGTCAGAGTTTTGAGCAGGTATCGAATTATAACTGCTTAAATCTGATTATGGATGATTTTTCTAGTATCAGGGCCCTATACTTATGTAATAATACTAATAATGAAAGATTTGAAGTATAGTATATAAATAAACATTTTTTTACACATGGCATTCAAATTAACTACAAATAGGAATACTGTCTCCAATAATATTTGTTTGGTAGCATTATATGCAGGAGCTTTGAGATTTACAGGTGCCACCAGATCAAGGGCCTATTGATTCCTTGATACCAAAATATATAAAAAATAATAATTTGATGTAACAAGTGAACCTCATGTCTGTGAGAAAATTAGCCCAGTCTAGATTTTCTACTTTTGGTATGTTAGAGGAGAAAATGTTCTTTGGGGAGAGAGATTGTATCCTTGTATACTCCTTGCTGACATTGGTTTTGTTGATATGCTCTGCTGAGTTTTAGGCCTAGGAGGAGAATTTGATTTGCTGAAATATTCTGTAACAGGTATTGTCATCTTATTTCTTCTTATAAACATTGGAGGCTTGTGCTCAGCCTCTGAAATAGAAAAAAAATCTAAATAAGGCCATATTTGAGGCATCGAACATAACTTCTGTCATGTTTTAGAAGCAAATTACATACAAAAAAACAACATGAAGTTTAGGTGAACCAAATACGCCCCAAATTCATAAAATAATCTAATCTCATCTTTCATGTCATCTGCTCATCTTAACGAGTTATTTGTTCTATAACATATAGATGTTCTTTACTCTTGGAATCAAATGTTTTTGGTAAGAATGAATTAGGGCTGGTGAAGGGCACAGTGAGGCCAGTGAGAGAAAGGAGAAGGATCTCTGATCCTGATAGACAAAAAAATAAATAGACAAGCTGGTTAAAACAAGTCATTTGTACTCAGGAGACCTTCATAAGGCCTACATGGTCACATCCAAGGAGGAATACGGATTTGAGGAGATGCTAAATATCAACACTGGAGACAAAGGGGTATGATTTGGGGATTCTTATACAAAAATTTTCCAAATATCTAGATGGGGTAAAATACATTTGGGGCCAACAGGTAAGACATAAAATTGAGTAATAGAAACATCACTGTCAGGATTTTGTAATCCTGGGGTGAAGAGTTTTGTAGAAGAAGACAGATGCAATAGACAATCCTTGGAGTGTCAGAATAAGGGGATATTTTCTAATTTCTAAATTACACTTATTATTGTCTATTAGCAGATAGAGCCCCTTTTGGGTTGGTTAAGTCCAACAGACCCTGCTGGGGTTTAGAGTAACCTCCAGGAACTCTAATTGATTACCGTATCATTCCTGGTATAAGGGGAACTTGTAGAAATAATAAGGTAGGCTTTTGTTTGAGGCTACTAGACATACTTCATAGTCGTTGCTCTATAGTCATTGCTCTATAGTCATTGTTGCTGTGCTTATTTAAGGCTAGGGGCCCCCAGTCCAACAGGGATGTTTCAGTTGGGCTATTCTGCACCAATGTAAGACTTTCCACAATCCTTGATCCTTCTTGGTCCAAATCATAGGCTGAGGCTGGGCTTCTGGTAGGGACACAAAACTGCTCCTCCCTTTCGTATTTCAGATGTCTCATGGGACATCTGCTGGCTGGCTGACATTTTATTATTTTCTCTGGTGACTTTGTTTCTAGTAAAAATTATCTGGCTCAATGACAAACTGTGAAGAACCAAAATTCTGAGATCATTGTCTTTTTGTTAAGTCAGTGCAGGGTTTCCCCTGTCACTGAACTGGCATGACCAAACCTATAGTTCCCCCTGTGTCCTCCTGTCTTGCTTCTAAAGAGTGTCTGTCCCTGGGGCACTTTACTTTTCAATACAAAGTTAAATTTCTGTCAAATGTATCTCTATGAGAAATTCATCAGGTGCTGCCCCTTAGAATAGCTGGAAATCACTATTGCATTTTACTGCATTTAAAACCAGATATCCTTAATATCTGTGTCCCTAACTAGTTAGTTACTTACTGGTTTCCTTATAACAACTCAGTAATTATCACAAACTGTACTTAACCTTTTGGTACCACTTTATTGTCTTCAGATCCTTGACTTGATACTCTAAATCAATTGGAGAAAGAGAAAATTAAATTCACAGATACCAACAAGTATTTTCTATAGACTGCATTATCATCATATAAACTAAGTATATGTGTGTCTTAAATATCCTATTCAAATTCTTGGTGTTTCAAAATAGAGTGTATTAAATGTATTTTCCAATGAAAAATTTTTCTGACTTTGAGTAAATATCTAAACAGTACATTATACTTGGGCAGAGAGACCAACCCTGACTACCTCCCAGACCCTAATTTTTTTTTTTAATCCTCACCTAAGGATATGTTTTTTTTCGTTGATGAGACAGAGAGTGAAAGGGAGATAAGGAGAGAGAGAGGGAGAGAGAGAAACTCCACCAGGAATCAAACCCTCGGCCCTTGGGTGCACAGGACAATGCTCTAACCACTGAGGAACACTGGCTAGGGCACGCCAACGTCTAATTTTATGGAAACTCTAAGGTGGAGACAAATTGCACTACTACAAAATTACCCACTGTCTTAATGCTTTTTAAAGTTATCTATTATGTGTTTTGAATATTTATTTTCTCTTAATTTAAACTTTACTTAACTTTTAATTTTAAAGCAACAAGATTTTTAACTCCCAGCTTAAACATCATCTTACCACATTCTTTCACCGCGTTGTTTATACATAAATATGCATTTTCTTCTGTCATTGAAATTACAAGGTTTAGGAAGAATTTCTACTGAAATATTTCCCAATTCCCTTAATAGTTTTTTTCCCTCTGACAACCCCCAGGAGTATGTCAAAGATAATCAAGTGGAGCAATTTATTTTAAACTTGCATTGTTCTATACCAAAAAAAAAAAAGTGATACCTCTATGATATGCATTTAACAAAATATACAATAACAATACAATTTAGATTTCCTTTATAGCTTTTATTTTTAAGTAAAGTAAAAAAAAAATTAAAACCACTATATTTTCTTAGATTTCTGGATGGCTACTCTTGCCCTTAGTGGAAAGGGAACTTTCCTCAGAAAGAAAGGTTATTGGGTAAAGAGGACACAGCCCCTGCAAAAATGCTCTGAAAAATAAGATTTAGAGTGATCCTCTTACATTTATGAAAATTTTAAAAAAATACACATTGTTGTCATTTATTGAGTAAAGAGGAGACTTAAAAACCTCAGCATGATTAGTGTTTTGAAAGATAATGAGAAGAGAATTGGAAGTCTTTATGTACCATATGCCCTCTAGGTGGCCATGGTGTCTCATTACCTAGTCAGTTGATGTCCTTCTGTAGGTCTGGTCAGCACTTTTGATTTTGAGGGTGAATATGAGGGCGATTTAACTTTGGTCGGCTTCCCAGTCACTGCTGCTGGTTCTGCTGAGGCTCTGCTTCTCCAAGGGCGAGCCAACATGTTGACCTCAGCCAGCTCAGCATGAATCAAAGCTGAGATCCATTCTTTTTCTGATTTAACAAAAGGGGTGGGAAGGGCATGAAGGTTGTAATTATCATTGTCTGGAAACACTGAATTAGTTTTTTTACCCAGCACTCCAGTATAAAATGCTGCTAATCTGTTTTCTGGGTAGGCACCTGTGTATGACTCAAGGTTTCTGCAGAAAAGTTTCTGTTGACCTGTGATACTGTAGAGTGCCCAGAGTAGCTAATTCACTGAGGTACTTTCCGTGAATGGCAGTGGAATTGTTTTCAAATGTTGAAAACAAAACTCAGCCTTACAGGCCACTGCCAAATGAAAAAAGAAAAGAAAAAAAAGTACACCCACAAAAAATAAGTACAATATGATCTTATTAAATACAAACTGATACTTAAATAATAATTACAAGCATATCTAGAAGAGTATACACTAAAGTATTCACTGAAATGATGTCTGTGATCATTTTATTTATTGTTATTGGTCTTCTTTTATTTTTTTCTGGTTCTTCCCCCTCCCCCCACCCTCCAACAATAAGCACTTATTTCTTGTGTAATTTTTTTTAAGTTATATTTTTAAAAAGGAAAAAATTTAGAGAATAAAGATTTCTCACCCCAAAATAATACTTCCTCAATTGTCTGCCAAGTAGTCCAGAATTCCTGGGGTAAGGAACTATGTGTTTCCAAAATGCTCCCATTTAAAACATTAGTCTGTTCCTGGCACATCGGTATTTCCTAACTTTGATTAGTGCAATGGTTCTCAAAGGGTTGTCTCAGACCAGCATTATCAGCATCATCTGGGGCCTTGTTAGAGATGCAAATTCTCAGGTTTCACCCACCCCAGAAGGCTGGCCTCTGTCAGTCTGATGACCAGCTAGGTTTAAGGATAGATGCTCTATGCTTTTTATGGTTGTCCCATTAAGACTGGCATGTATTTTCATGGAACAGGCCAAGATGGGCCTAAAGGAGGCTAGGAGATGACTGAGTTGATGGTTTTGGTGGGGAATTGGCAGAGCTGTTAGAATCTGGAACTTGGAAGCCTAGCTCCTGCCATCCATACCAAAGGAAGAAACAGGCTCTGTGTTCATCTCACCTTTTGAACTTGCGTGAAGCAGCCACTGTAGAACTTCGGCCAGAGAATCAGTACGTAAAATGTTACAGAGTTTTTCCAGAATCTGACAGAGAATATTGGAGTTATATAGTGAGCAAGTAAGTGGTATAAGGCTATAAAGTTCCCTTTACTTTCTCCAGTCTCATCTTCCCAAATGCACTCTGTACACAGTGCACAATTCAATCAATTGGGATTTTAGCTTGGGAGCCAGCAGAATCTTTAAAAAAACATCTCCAATGCAAGTAGTAATAGTTTAGGTTAGGCGATGCAGTTTTTCTTGTTTTGTCTGTTCAGTACCAACATTATCTGGAGGAGCCATTAATTTTTCTTCTCTTAGGGAATTGATCCTTTCCCTCTGTCCCATGGGGTTCTAATGGAGATCTTCCTGTCACAGAACTGTCCCCCTATCTGTACTGCTCCCCTCTATAGTGGGTGAATCTAGCTGGATTCCTCATTGTTCCTCAGTTCTCTGAATGTAGTGATTAGCCCAATGGGATAGGAATCTAATTCTCATTTGTCAATCAAAATCCTTCTTTGAGAATTTTTATCTGGAGCTAAGGCCTGAAGTGTGGATGATAGAGAAGATTAATATATGAAATAATTAGTTATAATAAAAATGGACTCTAATAAGCATTAAAGTGCAAAGTATTAAGCACATGATGTTTCCAGTTTGACCCTAACTCTATCTGCTATTAGAATTTAGATATATCTGAAATTCATTCCTGTCTCCTGAACTTCAGTCCTATATAACCATCAGCCTTCTAGATGTATCCACTTAAATATACTATAGTTACTTTGAACCAAACTATCTAAAACTAAAACTGCACCAAACTCGCTGTTCCTCCTGCTTCCCCTGTCTCAGTGGACAGCACCAGCATACATGAATGTATGTCCAAACCAGAATCTAGGATTCGTCCTAGACAATGCCAAACAACAACTTTAGTAAATTCTTCCTTCTAAATATTTCTCAAACCTCTCCATTTCTCTCTATTGGCACAGCCTTGACCCAGTCTAAACCATCATCAATTCTTTGAGCTACTGCAGCATCTTTTTCCTAGTCTCTCTGCCTGAAACCTTTTCTTAAAATACTATTAATTCACAAAATATTTCTGTCTGTCATTGATCTAGATGCTGGAGATATAGAATTGAAATTAAAGGGCAGAAAAATCCACTGCCCTATATTGAGCTTTGTTATATTATAAATTCTTGTCCTTGATAATGTCATACCATGAAGACAGCAAATTAAATATGTTCCTAATTTCACAATAAATCAATGGCCATGGCAAAAACGGGAAAAAGAACCCTCTGGTATTCTCTAGACCACTCTTGCCTCTAATGGTATTTTCATCAATATGATGATTGCACATTACTTCCAGCTTCTTTAACTCATAAATAACTCATTGGTCAGCTTTGAGAGAATATAATTATCCTTTTAGTGAGAGGAAGTAGAATATGCCCTCCCTTCTTTTCATTAAGTTTTGTTCCAGAAGAAAGTCAATATATTGGCAGGTGAGTTTGATCTGTTGAAACTCGATTTTAGGATTTGGGAGTATAGGTCTCTAGTAGCCCCTATAGAGTACCCTACACTTTTTTTTTAAAGTTTGACTTTTCTGGGGTCTCAACTTAATTCTTGGTGTGTTCAACAAGGTCTCTTCAATCTGGCAGATCAGAAGTCCAGCATCTCTAAGCAATGTGCTATCTTCCATTAGCTTCCTTCTGCCAGGTCTCAGAATCTCATCCTCTCCATGTGCAGCTTATACTAGACTAAAGATTCATGAAATCCTGTGCAGATTTTTGGAGCTCATTCTCTCCATAGATCCCTCTTCTTCAGAATCTAAATTTACAAATTCTGGCCACTTCAGCATTCCCAAAATCTGAACTCCGTTTTCTCTACCTGGTGAGGTTGTTACTTTCTGTTTGGGCTCTACTTTTCTGTACCATGATTAGGAATGTGCCCCAGACAGAAACATGTAAATCATCCCAATTGTTATCTTTTTTTCTCAGTGGTCGTATATTTGTACTGTCTGCTTTCCAGTGCCTGAAAACAGTTTCTATGTATATATTTCACAGTTATATGATTGTTTACAGTAGGAGGATAAGTCTTGAACCTAATCTACCATTTTGGAAGCAGGGTACCTTGCCTGCAATTTTGCTTCCTCCTCCCAAATTAATTCTACATATTGTATCTAGAGTAATTTTTCTAAAGTACAACTCTAATCATGTAATTCTTGTACTTACAAAGTAATTCAGTATCATTCACTACTTAAAATTCTTCACCGACTTCCCACAGCCCTTAGGATGGCTTATAAAATACTTTATTACCTGGTATCTGCTCAGTCTCCAACCCCAGCATTTGCAATGTTTTCCCTTCACTTTCTGCAATAGCCATATTGATGCTTTTAGTTCCTTGAATAAACAATGCTCTCACCTCTTAACCTTTACATAAAAGTTCTCTTGGCTAGGAGTAACCATTTTCTTACTTCTCTTTATCTTGTAATTATACCTAACATTCTTTAGGGTTTTTTTCTCCTTGAAGGCTCTCTTAGCTCCAAAATTTCCTCCTATATGATCTTACAACACTTGTATAATCCCTCTCATAAGCTATGTGAATGAAGGAACCAACTGTATCTCCCAACTATATATAATATTTTGTCATTTGATATTAAATATGTATAGAATAAGTGAATGTGTTTGGCAGACTTTTTGGTGTCATTAATAAAGAGATTTATTTCTATAAATTCAAGATCTTTGAGAAGAACACTAAAAACAAGATCCTAATAGATACAGAATTCTGTTTTCCTTTGAAGTAATAATTGTGAAACTACATACTTTTTCATATGCTCCCCTGCACAGACATTTCTTGATTTCACAACCCATTCAGAGTTACCAGCCTAAATAGTAGTTCAGATTTTTTGTAGAAGGCACAGAAGGATGGGATACCACCAAGATGAACTCTCTTTTTAGGGTTCTTATGAAACAAGTCAAAACATTTTAATGACCTATTTTCTCACTTTACTCCTTTTCTTTTAATTTATTTAACAAATAGTCAACAATTATTTGCTAAAATGCCATGCTCTGTGGGTCAGTTAATAATTTGCAAGCTGGTAAGTGCTGAGGAATCAGTTGTGAACAAGATGGACGAGATCCGCTCCTTCAAAGAATTTACATTTTAGTGGATTTTGTATCAACTGATGTCCAGTTAAGTCAATACCTGTGAGGTGTACGATGTTTTTGAGAGAAGGGTTCTTTAATAGATTCCCACAAGGCCAGTTTTATAAGATCATGCTGATCTATTGATGTGCCCACGGAAGCAAGATAGCCTCACTAAAACTGTGCACAGCTCATGGTTTAGTATAGTTGAGGTCCTATTTGGTTAGCTGATTTTCTACAATTCCACTTTGACCTTGATAGAACTTTTCTTTTTAATTTATATATTCAACATTCAATAAATACTTATTTAATAATTACTAGGTGCCTATCACTTATCGAGGCATTGAAGACAAAGCAATAACCAAGACACATAAGTATGAGATCTTATAAGACTTAAATTTTAGTGTGAGTGGGGTAGGGAGGCAGAGACAATATTGAAAAATAAATAAATATGAACATAATAGATATGGCATGTGTTATAGAAAAAAATCACACACAAAAACAAAGGCTAATGGGATAGAGAGTGTCTGGGTAGCTGCCTTCGATTGGATGGTCAGGGAAAGTACTTCTGAGTAAGTGATGTTTAACCTAAAACCTTAATGAGAAGAAGGTGACCACTGAAATGATTAAAGAGAAGATAATTTCTAGCAGGGGAAAACCCCTCATGGAAGGAATAAGAAAATTATAGAAAGATCAGTGGTGTCAGAATGCAGTGGTTGAGGCAGACAGTGATTCGAAAACTCTGTAATAGAAAGTCTTTAGCCAGAATCATCAGGAAATCATGTGTAAACACAAGTCATATCTGTAGGTATTCTCCCTTCATGTCCTCCTTTCTTTTTATGCTCTCTCCCAATTTGATCATCAACATTAAGTACTATGCCCAATAAAACTGTCATCCTTTACTTTTAACACAGCTCCTTATGAGGACTATTCAGTAACAACCCTTACAACATGCTCTGTTATTTGCAATTGCCACTACTCATATTTTAAAATTCTATCAGTCATCATTACAATATTTTGACCCTTAATTCACTGTAGGGAGTCTTAAAATGAGGCAAGGTGGAGGTTACCAAAAGGATCTAAAGAAGGTAAACAAAGAATGGCAGATGACAAATATCAGCTGATTGATTTATTCCTGGTTATATGTCATTCTCAGAAATAACTGTAGCTGGAGAGAACTATCCAGTAGTCTGATATGACATATTACTATTAATTTAACTCAGTTTATAATCCCAGGAAGAAAAGGTTTGAGGAAACAGTTTTCCACAAATAAGAGAAAGAGAGATGAATGTTGATTAGAGGAATCTCTGCTTTAAAATATGTGAAGGTGGGGGGTGGAGATTAACCAAAGAATTTATATGCGTATATACATAACCCATGGACACAGACAATAGTGGGGTGAAGGCCCAGGTGGGGGGTATGAGGAAGAAGGGGTTAATGGGGAAAAATGAGGACAGCTGTAGTACTTTCAACAATAAAGATAAATTTAAAAAATAATAATAAATTTTAGAGAGAAAAAATAATAAAGTAAACCAACCTCCAAAATATATATATATGTGAAGGAAATGTATTGGTAAAGGTTAGAATTTGGAGATAGTGCCTCTTAAGCATTAGGAAGATAATAAAGAAAGATATGGGAAAAATAGGGCCAAGGTTGCTGGGCAAATGCCAAGCTTTTCATTGCGTCTAAACCAAACACTGTGGGTTATTTTTGTTGTTTTGTTTTAATTTTCATTAAATTTGTTGGGGTGACATTTGTTAATAAAATTATATAGGTTTCGGGTGTACAATTCTATAATACATCGTCTGTATATTGCATTGTGTGTTCACTACTCAAAGTCAAGTCTCCTTCAGTCACTATCCCCCCCTTACCTTCTTCTAACTCCCTCTATCCCCTTTCCCTCTGGTAATCTCCATGATGTTGTCTGTGTCTATGAGGGGCTTTTTTAATCCCTTCACCTTAAGCAAACAAACAAAATAGAAACACACTCATAGAGAAAGAAAACAGATTGATAGCTGTCAAATGCTGTGTTTTTTAAAGAGTGACAAGATTCCAGAGAAAAGTAAGACTTCAAGGATCCTAAGTAATATGAATTTTTGTTTCTCGGTTCATGCTGTACCCAAGTTATGGATTAAATAAACATGCCCCTTACTTTGATTTCCTGATCCAGGTAGTTTGGTATGCATACAGTGTTGTTTTTGACGTTAGGCTTGGCACTCATCACCCCTGAAGAACAAGAGCCCGCAGTAGAGCATGCCTTTGGAGGTGAGGGTGGATTTTTTACCTTAATTTCCTAAATCAGAGATACAATATAATCAATATACATTTGAATCCACTTATATTTTGTATAAAAATTCAATGTAAAGTGAATTAGAAATACTGTAGGTAAATGAGAAACATACATAAAAGCAAAAGGTTAGTTTTAATCCTCCCTTAAATATCTAATTTTCAAATATTTGCTTTTGGAGACAGAACAAATAGTAATACATCATTTACTTTTGTGAAACCATTTAAAACCCTTGGTTAAACATCAGCATAATAATTTTTAGATGTTTAATGTGTAAATTTTACTTATATTGCCGCTTCAGATAAGAACCAACTCATGACACATAATAAGATTTTCTGTTGAGTTGGGAACATTTCTCTTTTATGATCAGAAAAGATAGCCAAGAGGTTTTATGGTGTGTCTGTTTCTCTCTCTCTCTC